ATAAAGCTGTGGTAACATAATACTGCCTACTGTCTGTCAGCTCAGAAGCAGGAGTGAGTCATCCTCGCTATTTTTTACATTATCCTGTGGCTAACCACTTTGGAGGAAACACACAAACACACACACTGACAGATTTGGCTTTAAATTGTCCATCCGAGCTGCCACTGTCCCGACATAGACCCTGACGCAGACGGACGGTTTCCCAGGACGCGGCCTGCTGACACCTTCCTGGCAGGGCAGCGTGGGAGATTGATGAGGTGTCAACAGGTGAGAATGTAACAGAGGGGTCAAACACATAGAGACCATAAACGATTGTGTTTCTGTCACTTCCCTGCCCCACACATCTACACACACACACACACACACACACACACACACACACACACACACACACACACACACACACACACACACACAGGTTAATCTAGCCCAGCTTTGGCTCTCCACATCACTGGCTTTCTGTCAGTCTGGTTCTAAGTGGGTTGATGTGTTTTAAATCGGTTACCAAGAAACGAGTTCTGCTCAAACAATCTGGACTTTCTCTTGCCAGATTTGAAAAAATGGGGGTAAATTTTCAATTTCATTAAATTAAAACTGATTCTTCTGTGTTCACCCTTTTGCTGACAAACGGAGAATCTATAACCTCTGACTTTTAGTAGAAGTCAGAGGTTCATCTTACACCACAATAAACCTAGAGGAGGACGACTCATCATGTCAAATAATATGCTTATTTCTCTAATAATTCGATTTTAGACTTTATTTAACTTCTGTTGCACTCCTCAGGGGTTTGTGTTCAGGCAGAACTCAGGGGCAGCCATGTGATGGCAGCGTAAATCAAAGATCAGACTGAAGCTTCGCTGACAGCTCTGCTCCGTCTCTGTTGCGACAGCCATCATGCCTGATCAAACAGCCTGGAGTCGCTCTGCTGTCAGTGAGTCTGAGCTGCTCATGTGCTGCTACTGATCTGCTGTCAGTCTGACCACTGAGGAATGGAGCCCCGTAAAGAAAGCTCTTCCAGGAACAATGAGCTTCACTTGTTGAAAGTCGCTGCTTGTGCTGATGTTGAGCTAACCCATGCTATTTCTATGAGCTTGTTATTTCTCCCCTTGTACCTCGAGTTTCATTTCATTTCTTTTTCGTGGAAATAAAACAGCCCCGAAGGGCAAAACTGTGTTTGTTTGTTCCGACGTTGGAAGAACACAAAAGATTTGCGAACTGTGTCTGAGCAATAATCCTGCGTAGTGAAAAAAGTTCAAGCATAAAGAAGGTTTGCCATGTCAACAAACATTTGGAGGAAGGTTGTTTTGTCGGCTGAGACCAATGTGTCCAATTGCGGCCTTCGTGAAAAAGACACCGTGGCGACAGCGTTGGGCTTCGGCAAGACATTGAATGGATTCTCTCCCCAACATGAATCCATTCATAGTGGCAGGGTGTGAGAAACGTCTGGAAAGGTGAATGAGAGGTGCGCATTTTGACGCCTCTGTAGAAACAACTGGAAGCCACCCGGGGTGTGTCTGGAGGGGAATAGGGGTGAAAAAACAAAACGGGGGATCTGGGGGTAGCGTCATGTTCCGAAGCCTCAGTGGTCAAGGACAAACGTTTGTGTGGGTATAAATGTCCGGCAGCACGCATCTAAAATCTATGTACAGAACGAAGACACAGGATCATACAAACATTAATGCAATATTTAACTCTCCAGAAGCCAGCCGGGTTCCGGGTAATGCAAAGGCTGCTGGGAAATGTGACTGATAAACAGAGTATCTTTTCAAAGATTAAAAAGTGACTTCAGTGGACCGAAGCTGCCTGGCAGTGAGGACGTCAGCTGACGTTCAGCTGTTGCTATGGGGGGCGGGGCCAAGCGCCAGCTGGAGGGAGGAAACTCGACACTGTTGGAGGGGAAGCTGATCCAAACAAGTATCTGATCAGGTCGGACATTTCAGCCGGATGGGTGTTGGGGTTCGTAGCGGGGTGTCCGAAGTGCAGCCAAAGCCGAGCAAATAAACTACTCCATTTCACCAATTGACTTGAATTCCTCCAGTCACTAGGTGACTAGTGGTTGGCATGGTAGCATCGAACTGGTTCATCACGTTGGTCACATCAGTTTTAGGTGATGGAGTTCGACTAACATCTAAACTGTGGGCTTGTCTTGTTCTAATACAACCTGGCAAGACTCAGTGTTTGTTTTTTTAACTTCTTTTCCACTCCTGCCTGCTTCAGGGATTAAACACCAAATTTAGAGTTGTAGAAAAACATCTACTGCCATGCCACTAAAACCTCCTTTTTCTCTTTACAATTAATTACTGCCAAACATCCCTCCCTCCCTCTTTCCCAGAGACAGAAAATAATGATCTGTTTTCATCAATAGAAAAAAGAAGGTTCAGCATTTCTGTCTTTATGCTGAATTTTCTTCAGTCCGAAGACAAAATTTGTTACCATGACCTTTTTTTTTTGTTTGTAGTTGGCTTTTGTTGCGTTAAGACTTTTTGAATTTGTCTTTGTCTTGTGGTAAAAGTTTGATTTGAAAACGACAGCTTTGAATTGAATGATGGAAAAGAAAAACACTGGCAGTTCAACTTCTAATTGGTACATTGAACATCCAAGAGTCAGTGAGTTAAAATGGAGATTTTTATATTATATATATATTTTTTTCTGATCCTAATAAAATTACAGTCTAGAGAAACAGTGTATTAGTGACTAATAGACACAAAACAATACAGTGTTTGATGCTTTAGTAAGATGAGTGGAAACCATTTTCATTGGAGCTGCATTAGATCACAGAAGCTGTTAGATGGACTTAGAGATGGACATACCTGGAAGACAAGGCGGTAGCAGCACACACAGGAGACACACAGATGTACGGGGACGCACAGTACGTCCAAAGCACAAAGACGGACAGATTTTATACCAAGAGGTGGAGCGATATATATGTGTGTGTATATGCAACAGACTGAATAACAATGCGTGCATGCAGGCTGTGGAATTACTGTGGGACTGAGCATACAATACAGGAATAACTGAGTCTGCACACACACACACACACACACACACACACACACACACACACACACACACACACACACACGCACGCCTGCGTGTGTGTGTGGTCAGGGCTGGGGGCCATGGGCGGATTAAGCAGAGGCAGAAAGACGAGCACCTCGGAGGATTAGGGAGAACACAGGGATGACCTCACTGGACAAATGGAGGGGTGCCACAGGGCAGGTGGAGAGGGGGATGAAAGGAACAGAGTGGGGTTGAGGGGGGTGATGGATGGAGAGAGGGAAAGAGGGAGGGAGGGATGTTTGGCAATAATTAAAGAGAAAAAGGAGGTTTTAGTGGCATGGCAGTAAATGTTTTTCTACAACTCTAAATTTGGTGTTTAATCCCTGAAGCAGGCAGGAGTGGAAAAGAAGTTGAAAATAAAAATAAAAAAAATAATTTGATGTCATCACTCATGTTTTTAGACCCTTAGAAAAACAAATCCACATATATATATAGTGGCATTTTAGAAAATAGCTTCTTTTAATCCAGTAGTCTCAAACTGCAGTCCTCTGCATCCTTTAAATCACACATGTCAAACTGGAGGCGCGTGGGCCAAATCAGGGCCGCCATAGCTTTTTATGTGGTCCTCTAGAGTCTAGACTTCAAGGGAACTCACATTTCATATCAATCAAATTCATGCAGTCATTTTAGCAGTTTGTGAACAGGGTTCATCGATACGTTCTGGCACAACCGGCCCTTTAAGAGCACTTATCACCTTGTTTTGGCCCATAACAAAAATGAGTCTGACACCCCTGCTTTAAATGATGATCCTGCAGGGCTGAACAAAATGGATAAATTGCATCACTAACTTTGCAGTCAACAGCTGCGTCTCCAATGATCATATAATAGCATAATTTCACATTTTGAAAATACATTTGTATAATAGAAAGAAGCCAATTCATAACAAACTTGTTTTAAAAAAAACATTTTGGCACTATGAACATAGTTTTGCGCACATTTGTAATTGTACAGAGCTCTGCTAACGAAGCAGAGAAACATCTGAAGGTTGCAGGAGTTCGACTTCACGGCTTTAATCGGTTGTATAATCTGTGGGAAATTTTGGTCATCTACATTACGTTAAAGTTTATTTTATTCATTTCTACCAATCCAGCCAAGCAATCTCATCACACACGTGAGAAAAGTTGTGGCTGGGTTAGGGTCAACCCAGCCACAGACAGAAATAGAAGTGTGACTCGTTTGTCTATTTACTTCCTCCATAATATTACACCACTTATAGCCCAGTAAATATTTAACGGGCTACAAAAGCCCATGAAAATAGGTTTCAGTCAGTTTTTTCCCCCTTTATTTTTTTCTTTTGTGTTGGCTGCTTCTGAATGTAGAGAATTCACAGCCAGGTTTGTAAAGCGACTCTTCTTTGTTCTCTACAGCCGTAATATTTTGGGGGTATTTATGAAATATAAGTGCTTCTCTGTTATCTCGAGGCGTCAGACAAAGTTCCACAGTTGGTGTAACTTACTGTATGGGCAAAGCCATAGAGAGCCTCTAATGTTTATAGACAGATAAGTGGAAGTGTGAAAAGTAACTACATAAAAACTGAAACAATGCTGTCAAGTAATCATGATTAATAGGCCTGGATATTTGACAGAATTGGGCATTAATCATGTATGATTGTCGGTTCCATAACCTCAGCAAAATGAGCAAAAATAACCTTTTGCTACTAAATTGTTGCATAAATGACATGTGAGCTCAACAACAAAGATTTATTCTTCTTAATCTGTCAGTTGGCCAAGCGAAGCGGCTCTGTCAACCATTTCCGCCTGCAGATGTCACCTGTCCGCTATGATTAACAGCATACCACAAACACACAAGCATAAAGGTTCCGCTCTGCATTTTGTCTGTGTTGAAACACAAAACAAACAAACAAAAAAAAAATTGAAATTAATTGCGCTAACGTTTTTAAGGCGTTAATTAGTACGGGTCCTAATAAAATTAGAAACAGATTTCACTTTTAACAAGAAAAACCTTTAATTTTCATAGCACTTTTTATTTTTTTATAGAAAAACATAAATAAGATTCTTCAGCATGGGGATCATGAGCCCACTGGCATGGTGACGGTGAGAATCTGTAAGAAACAACAGAAACAGTAAATGTTTCACACTGCAAAGCATAAAGGATAAAGCTGCATATCTTGTGAATGTAAGGAGCCAAGTTTACGGATGCAGTTTTGGAAACCAAAGAAGAGACGGCTCTCCTTTCCCACCTGGTTAGTTCTGTGTACCTGTGTGGTCTTGTTATATTGCGCCACACTGTTCTGCTGGTCAACCAAGAACGGGTGGAAGATGTCGAGGTGGTAGAGCGACGGTCGCGCCGTCAACACTAGCCGGTCTTCTCCGACGTCCAGAACCAGAGAGCGAGATGATGACTGCAGAGAACAAACCCAGTCCTCTACAGCATCAAGGTATTTTGGCATGAGACACATTTTCCTTTTTAATATCTGACAAAATAAAGCATTTTTTAAAATCCTGCAGTATGTAACCAAGAGACGGGTCTTAAGTGTTCTCAATCACCCTGTGGCTATCTGCCACATTGCACCTAGAAGTCCCTGTTGTGAATGCCAAGGATAGCATGGACACCTAATGACAGAATATTTTCATTGGAACTTCATGCGGTGACCCACACAAAGTAACACAGATTGCTTGTTCTCAAGAAAACCCAAAAAGGCGCCATAGCCAACGCCTGCTCTGCGTCAGTTGACGCCGACTCTGTTCCTCATTGACCTCGAGTCCATAACAGCCTCATTTAATTTTCCAACTCGACTGCAGATGCTGCGGTGAAACCAGCAGCACCAGCTGCTGGGCGTTAGATCAAGATGAAGCAAATCATCTTGATGAAGATGATAATTTCATACATTCCAACACACACCACGACATGTGTTCTGTCGTACCAGGTGCTGCTGCTCTGGCTGCCAAAGTCATGTGTCAAAGAAATATTCCAATTAAATCTCTTTAAATAAGCAGGTTGTTATCAATGACTTATCGCAATGACTTAAACATGTCAGTACAGACGATAGATAATTACGTAAACTGAAATGACTTTCAACTGTGTTACTTTTGCAAGGTTGTCGGATGTCGTGACTGAACACACTGAACCGTTCGGCAGGTACGGCGGTGAGCGCCTCATTCTGAGTGTCAGCAGCAGGTTATACTCCATGTAGAGCGGCAAATAATAAAAGCAAGTCAAGCATGTCGTGTCATGTAATGTTGGTTTGCTCTTTAGTAATGAAAGTCTAGCAACAATAACACTTAAACCATCGGATTCAGGCTACAGTTTGTTTTAGTTTGACATTTTAGGTGTTGAGAAAGTCATGACATTTCACAGAAATGGCAGCCAATTTTTTTCTGCATCACAAAACACATAAAAGTATCAAAACACCAAAGTATCAAACCGAAAAAAAAACACACATAAAAACACTGAAAGCATTACATCAATTACTTAGGGTACATTATTTAATGACTCAACTGGTTTTAAAACCCACTGGCTTTAAAATATTGCTTAAGTTTATGTATGTAACCATCCCTTACAAATGCGGTGAGGCTGTTATGGACTCGAGGTTTACTTAGAGGCAGAATTATGAATTTTCTAGGCACATAGTGTCATTTTAGAGCACTATCAAGTAACTGTGTTTCCGTCAGTCATCATAAAATGCTCTATGTATAAAATATAAACTGAAAAAAATTTGACTTTGTGATTAAACTTCTTGTAATTGAACCTCTGTCTCTTTAAAAACTCCTGCTCTTTCTGAAACCTGAGGAAGTCATCACAACACGGCTCCTCTATTAACCCTTCAACAACAATTTCACCTGCGATGTACTGAGAAGTGGCTCCTATACGGAGCTCAGGAGATCCACAGTTCCACCAGGTGTTTGCTAATTGCTGCTGGCTAGTCTGAAGGAGCTGAGTGGAGGACTCCGGGCTACTTGTCAGACTGAAGCTTGGAAACTGCAGCCCTGAGGAGGAGCTGCACCTTGAAGGCGGAGCTAGATCCACTCAGGCGTTTTGCCACAGGACATTAAGTTATGCATGAAAGAATCAAGGCAACACTCCAGGTCTGTTTTTGGTGAGGGAAAAACATTACAGCATGATGTAAAGCTCACAAAAAGTACATTTTCCATGAAACTGTTCCTTTAAATTAGCAATCTGCTGTGTATTTGCTGACTTTTTTATTTAAATTTTTTGTGAAAACTACCTCAAGATGATGTGTTGCAAATTGTGAAACTGGAACAGGTTAATCTGGTAGAAAATAAACACATGAAGAAAATAAAAAAAAGACGATTTGCTGTGTTTGTTTCACTCCAAGCAAGCATTTATCCCCCAATCCCTTCCCCAATGGTCCTGTCATGAAGTTTAAACACTAAACAAGCTGCCAGAAATCTCCCACCCAGTGTTTTGGAACTTCCCGGACTGATTAGTCAAAATAATTGCTTGGGTGAGATCTCATCATTTTCACTTTCTATAATTTGTTAATTTGGTCCGTAAGGGCCAAATACACTGCTTACCACTCCAGGGAGCTTTATCTCTGCAATGAGGTACTCTGGGGGTCCACTAGGGGGCTCCACCAACAGCAAGCATTCTGGTCTGAGCACAGAGAAGATCCACACATCCATGTCACCAACGCTATTTTAATGTAGCATAAAAGGCAGAGAGTAAGAGCTGTCTCACCTTTTAACACACGCTGGGGCATTTTCCCTGAGGGCAGACAGAGATTCATCCTTCAGTCATGATTTACACTATTTCAACGTAAAATTAAAGATTTCATTGTTTAAATATGTAGTTCCATTACTTCTAAGGTTGCCTCATGCCAAGAACAAGCATAAACTGCAGCTAAAGGACAAATAAGAGACTTGCACAGTACATTAGAATGCTGCCACATTCAAACTTCAATGTGTTTCACAAAGATTTCAAGTGACGAAAAGAGAGAGGCTAAGTCTGCTGCAATAAACCTATTAATCACATGACAAATAAAAACAAGCTCAACAGTTTCCATTTGCATGATGGCTTATTTTGCTCATGTCTCTCTGTTTCTACCAAAAACTGGATGACAGGGCACTGCAAGCGTTCAGAGTTGAAACAAAGCAACATACTGAGGCTGCAGCTCCTGGATCACCGGCCTGCTCTTTGTCCGGATGTTCTGCTCACTGACAGAGCCAAGGAATTTTCTGTTCTTCAGCACTTTCCAGTCTGCACAAACACATACCAAATTGTGTCTCAACTTGGTCTAATGTTATTACAGAGACAAACACACGAGCACAGACTCACCTCTGTTTAGCTCTAGACTGTATTTGTTCTCCAGGCCCTCCACAGACACCAAGATAACAAACTGCTGGAACAGAGGATCCTTCTGCAAGACACCGTCACACACATCACTTTCTTTACCATGCTGTAAAGCACCAAACATGTTAAATGTGCCATCTGACAAGTCACCTGACTCTTCTGGAAGAAGTCCTGGTTGATGACGACGTCATAGGCTGTGCAACCTTGAGAGTCTGTAAGACAGCAGCAGATATGTGGCTATATAATGGAATGCAGCTGCTCAGAATCTGAGCAGCTGCATTCCATTCATCCACAGTTCATCCACATGTAACTGAGTCTTCTTTATTTTTATCATCTGTAAGACATATTTCTTCTTAGTATTAGATGTCCCAACAAATCTGGTCTTCAACCATATAATCTTACCTTTTATCTGAAAACAGCGTCTGTCTGTATTATTGCTCGAAAAGTCTTGCTATACAGACTTATTTCTCTGTATTTACTTTAGATTCTTAGTTTATTCTTGCATTTTGTCCTTCATTCATTTCCATTTACTTTTTTTGTCATTAGTGTTATCCTCTCCTGGTTTTGTTTTGTTTCTTTCCTGTTGCTGGATTCATGTTATTGTTTGTATTGTAATCTTCACTCATCACCTGCTGCGTCGCCTCTTCATCATGTGTTTCATATCATATTCATTTTTCAAAAAGATGCACAGTGAGGGTATTGTGATTTTAGTGATTGCATGTGAGCGATATTCCGCTGTCCTTATATGGAAGCGTGCAGCATCCAGTAAAATCCAACATGTTTACTATAAGTTGCTGCTTTGACATGATTACAGCACTGTCAAAACGTGTACAAAAATTCTCAATAAAACATAAAATATTTGGAAATCAGACACCGCCCACATTTATAAAGCAATAAAGAGAAAGGTTAGCTCAGAATGTCACTATTTTGACAAACCAAACCTTTTAACTGATTTACAGATCACATCCAAACCTCCATATTTCTGTCATCTAAAGAAATCTGTAGACTTTGGCTTTTGCTACATACTGTTATCAGTTTCTGCATGCGGCTCGCCAAGGCTCATCGGAACTCTGTAGCCGCTGGGATCCTCCGACTGGAGCAGCTGCACAAGCTCCTCTCTGGAGAGCTCCGGCGGGGGTGGGACAGAGGTCGACTGGCAGATATTTATGAAAACCTTCTGCTTATCGGGCTCCGAGAACGTCTTCACACACAGTCCTGGGTGGAGGAAAGAGAGGAAATGGGGGGAAAAAACATACTAAAGAGGAGAAAGCGGAAGGAAACTACAAAGTTAACAAGCTTCGGATAAATAAAAAAAAATATGTCTCCCAGTTGTTTCGTATGTGAGGGGGAAAGTCCAGACTAATTGGGTGAAAATGCTAGCATTACAAAATATTATATTGCTCTCTTCCAGTTTACACCCAGTAAGTCTCAATATGATTCAAGATACAAAGTTATGAAAACCTAAACCCTCCCAATGACGTCAGAACTGTAGACCCGCAGCTGTTCAGAATAATCATGTACAAGCAATGTTCTACCGTATATCGACTTCCAACAACAACTTTGTTGAGAGAGTTTGGAACACTGGGCGCTTTTCCACCTAACACAAAATTGTCACATTTTTTCCATTTTCAGCTGGTATGGTTCACTTCCACACTGCACTGTGTCAAACCAGACACAGTGCAATTCACCTATGGGGGCGCTTCACCACAAACCCCTGAAGGACACAACAGGGAAACCTTTGGATCAATTGAGAGCAACTTTCTTCTTCACAAAATGTAAACAAAAATGGAGTGGCGTCAGACTTTAGCGATTGTAGAATTTCCCTTCTGACTTTGGCAAAAGATCACGAGTCGTTCCTTCTGTTAGGGAGTTTGTTTTGGCTGTATCTATACAGTTGAAGATGATGTAGTCCACTTTCTGCTTTTGGAGAGGTCTACTGTCACGCATTCGAACTGCATCAGAGTTCACTTCAACAGAACAGAAACCCAGGTTTATAGGAAAACCGATGTTCGCTTTTTTTGGTCCACATCAGAGTTCGTCTACGAAATTGTCACGCCTGGCTCAACAGGGATGACAAAAATGGGAGACAGATTAATTTCATACAAAAATATGGCTCTGGTGCATAAGGCTCAGAATACGGTTCAATTGGGGGCCAACCCATCTGCCTGCTTCCTGAAAAGAAGAAAAAAAAAAGCTTAGTGCAGAGGAGGGGAACGTCACGGCATTAACGCCTCCGCAAACAAACCAGACTTTCTAAACAAATTAAGGAGACTTTGAGTATGAAACTCTCCTTGAGTCTGAGAATGAACAGAGCTGTGTGAATGCCACCTAAATTACACTCCATTGTTTGCTCTCTTTTGTCCTTTAGTCTTCCACTGCAGTGTTTCATCAGTTTAAGGTGTGGACTTTAGCTGGAGAAGTCAGGTACACGTTTCTTTCTGTTTCAGACATTTCAATGTTGATTGTTCTTGTCCTTTTGGATGACCCAAGATTTAAATGATGGACAGAATTTCTTAAATGAATCATCACAATTGTAGAATTTCCACCTTTCCACCTCCATTCTTGACAGTAGTGATCAGGGATTTCGGTATTGCTTGCTCTGCTTTGTTCCACACTTGGCATGTTCCCATAATGATTTATGTTTATTATAGGACCTTTATGTTTCAAAATGCTTACCTGGTTGAGGCCGGATTAGTGTGGACTCTGGAGTTTCTGTCTGCAGCTTCCCCATCGTCTACACAAACAACAGTTATTTTATGTTTGGACAAGTAATTTAATCTTTTCTTTTGCTCCCTTCTCCAATTGCATGTGCCTCAACACATGTTGCTTACGCAGAACATTAAACTATTTTTTTTAACTGCTTTCTATATTTTGTTCTCGTTGTGAATTAAGCTATATAACCTTGTAAATAAAACGGCAAAGAATTTCTTCTTAATGCCCGTGTGCAAAACACTTATGGTATGTAAATATGCTTGTAAGCTTGTATTTATTTTGCTTGACATCCTATAAGGATGTGGTATAAAAATGGGTTGCTTTTCATACCAGAAGTTGTCCTTCCACTCAACCTTCAAGTTTAAACAACCAGTCTCTTTAGCGATGACCTTCAGTCACCTTGTGGAGGTTGTTTATAACCGTCCTTTGGTTTTAGTTATCTTGTAGCCACAAATAAAGGCTCAATCTATTTCACTCTCTACTGATCAATCATCAAAATAAGAACTTCAGATTCTGAAATGAAACTTTTCCACAATATTCTAATTTTCTGAGAGCTACCTGTACAATATATTTCTACTTTGTCTAAGTCTCTTATAAAATCCAAATGAAATACCTTGAGATCTACCACTGAAACATCAAAACATATGACAGTTTCACAATTCTTGTACAGTGAGTACTAACGGCAAACCAGACGTGATGAAATGAGGGAAATGATGATGACCTGGAGCAGCAGCTGCTGGTACAGTTCCTCTTGTTGCTGTGACTCCAGCTCAGAGTTGAGGAGCGACGAGTCAGTCATCCTCGGTTTGAGCTCAACGCTGTCAAAGTGAAAATACAAACACGATGAATTCCTCACATAAATATTACACCCATCCAGCTGTGGTAGTTAAGACTGTCATAAATGTGGAAGCTTGATAAATGCTTTACATTAAGTGTGATAGAGATACAGATTCATGTGAATGGGGCAGGCACAGTTTTACAGACTGTATGTAAAACTACAAAAGAGCTACAAAAGAAATTCACATTTCATGGGATGTTTTTGCAAGCAGGGATAAAGGTTCAGTGTAATGTAATGAACTCTTAATCTCGATCTTTAGTTACAGAGTATGAAACTAAAAGAAGCAAACAAAGGAGGTTCTACTTCACAATAATGCCCATATTTGTGTTGTTTTCTTCCTGTTAATTTAGCTCATGTTTGTCACCTGTGTTTCCTGATCAGTTACTGTCTCGCGTGGTGTTCGAGTTCGAGTCATGCCTCTGTCTGGTATGGGATTCTTGTGTGTCTTAAGCCTGCAGTTTGGTGAATGTCTCATGTCATGTCTTTGTGAAATAAATCTTCATTATGCCCCGCCGCTGTTTGCATTTTGGTTCTCCCACGTCTCCACCTTCACCAGTCCTGACACTTCCTCGCCGTTTGTTCTTAAGTGAACATCTGCGCTCTAGCCATCTTGGGCGGTCTGATCAAAAGAGTCCAGTTCTAAACATACACAGAAACCCAAAATGTACGGAGCACAATCAAATCCAATCTAGCAAACCTCATTAAAGGAAGGTGTCAGACAATCGTGGATCCACTCGTGGGAAACTGAGCGAAAGCCGAGGCATCTCAGGTCGCTAAGACTAAAAGTCATAAACAGTTTCCCTAAAGCAAACAGCTAACAGGATGTTTTGAAATCTCTAAACGAGTCGATAAACTAAGAGCTTGCTGCAACCCGCTCATCCAGCTTTCTGTGGTTACAGACTTTTTTCTCCACTTTAAAACACATTTTTAAATCTATGCCTTCCACACGAATAACCTAAAAAAGCAGATGATGGTATGAATAGAAGACACACGTAATTTCATCAAACACTCAAACACACATTTGATCTGAAATGGATGTAAAAGTTTTATGTCTGCAGGAAGTTATGGGTAGAATAAAAACAGAATCACAAGCGGTGGTGTAAAATCTGTTTAAAAAGCCCTCTCTGCCTGAAGCACAAACAGGACTAAAAAGATGTGTGGAAGAAAACAGACCACCTTCAAGGATGAAGCTTTTCAGTGCGACAACATGCGCTCAATACATACAAAGTCATTCACAAACAGCAGAGAGGTTTTTTTTCTTTAATCTCCTCTGGCAGTTCAAAAAGCCATTGTCTCCAGACTAAAGGTAAATATGACAGTGCCAGACATTGTTCTTTGCCTCAAACCAGAAGCCTCTTGAATTTTTGTCACATCATCTCACCTCTCTCACGTGAACACAAACTGTACTGTTGTGTTGCAGAAAGAAATTTTAGTCTGCTAGCAAAACTCAAGACACTTGCTGCAAACCTCTGCTCTCCTTGGTGTGCCGGGGAAAACATGCAAAGTGCTAATTAATACATTTGTACGAGGGGTGATTTGCTTCCAAACAGCCAGGCTCAGATTTGTAGCGAAGACCAGCTTCTGACAACCTGACACCCAATGTTCTGAGCTACGGCACAGCAGACGGAGGTGAGGATATGGGGAGAGACATAAAGATGAAGGATGGAGGTATGGAACAGAAAAAGAAAGTCATGTAAGGAGGAGGTGTGGGTGAAAGGCAGGATTCTTGCTCAATGTATTACTGTTCTTATAGATCACAGAGGCAGAGTCACAGTCTTATTGCAGCTTGACCTTGTGTGTAGTCATTCTCACCCAAGAGTGAGATACACACCAAAAAATCTAAAATTCAACACTTTCCCTCAGTCTGTCTCCGTCCCTCCGTGCTGTCTTTCCAGACCACATGTACAGGAATGTCTCCCAGTCTGTTCTCGTTTTCTCTGATTCTTCTGGTTCTGAATATTTGGTTGCCATGAATGTTATCCCAATGAATTCCTCATGTAAATCCATCCAGCAGCTGTTAAGAATGTCATACGTGGAAGCTTAATAAATATTTCACAATAAGAGGTATGTGACGTAAGCATTTTAGGGAATTAAAAAGCTTTTTTTTTTTTTTGAAAGAAATAATAGGGGAATAGAGACACCAAACACAGACATTAGCTTATTAGTGACCATTATACTATTATATTAAAAAGTAATATTTAATGTAACCACAAATATGCATTACAGACTCTTTACGAACGATAAATGTTTATTAATTTTATTATTAACAATCACGTAACACGCAAATTAGCCTAGCTTGAGCTCATTAGCCCACGAACCGAATAACTTCCGGTTGTCTTTGGCGGCTGTTCAACTCTCTGAAGGGTGTCCTTTGTGTTTTTAAATCTTTTAGTACGTCTCGACATGCTTAAAAAAAGCTGTGCTTACTGTTTTGAATCGTCCGGTGCAGCAGCAGAAGGCACGCTGTGGTTTCTTCCTTGTAGCAACAACCTTTTCCGCTGCGAGCATTTCAGAATAAAAGCATCCGAAATATGTCCAGAGGCGCAACGGAACCGCAGCTTCGCGGTGAAACACGTCTCACTCAGGGGGACCAGGCGGAGCCCCAACACTTATTGACAGAAATTGGTATCTTCTAACACTTAAAAGATACCAATTTTAGTCCATTACGTGCGACATCAAATAACAGCTGTCTTTGAATGCCCTTGTCTGTTTTAGTTATAAGGTTAAGTTTGAGTAAAAAAAAAAAAAAAAGTCGGCTAATAAAAGAAAAACGCATATTTAACACCTAAAATGATCTATTTAGGGTTTAAATGTTATCGAATAGCTCATATAAACAAAAACACACAAAAAAGTATCCATCTGCATCAGCAGGACAGATGGCAGTCATTACTTCTGACTAATTACTTCCAGAAGTCACTCCACCCTATGATTTCAAAGCAAGTCTGATCAAATTAAAATCCTTTAATTGAAAGTCTCTGTAAATTATCCATTCAGTTTATGGCTCTGTTGAAAGAATGCAACTATCAGGAAAATACACTGTCTTCCACAGCAAAAAGAGAAAGTAAAAGAAAATGTATTTTTTACACTATTGTTGAATCATGAGCAAATGTCCAAACACTTTATTGATCCCAAAATAAGAGTTATGAGCTATTTAAATTAAAGCACCAGGGTTTATTTAGAAAAATATTCAGATTTTACTTTGTGGTTTTAAAAGGTCTACATTGAAGACAATGAGAAATAAAGGCGGTTTTCTGGGGTTTTTTCTGTCAAAGACAGACTTGTCTGATGGTTTTTCTCTCTCCTCTCGTTCTACAAAAACTGGATGACAAAAGTCTTCAGTCTGGTGCTTTGATTTCATCTAGTCCCCTTTTTTGAAGGACAATTTTGTTTAATTCACTTTATATTTGTTGTTTTGTTTATTTATTTTTGGAAATTTAAAATGTTGTCCAGGTGCATTTAAAGTTTGTTGATCTTTGAGAATATGTTCTTGCATTATTTTTGCCATTACGACTTGAAAATGGTCCCAAAAATGATCATTTATTGCAATTACTTCTGGGACAATTTATCTGCCAGCTAAATTTGTCATTGTGGCAGGCCTCATTTTTGTTTGTGTCAAAGCAACTCATATCTATTTGTCTTTTAATATGGTTCTGAATTACAAATAGTCCTAAAATAATGATGAAACACACAATACTTGTAGAAAAGAACAACTTGGTTTTTGAAGTCCATGTGTTTGGCATCGTTGGGAAAGCTAAGAGTTCATACTTTCAGAGACTGTAAACAGCTCAAAACCAGAATTGACTTGTTTATTGGTTTTGTCATGGCCAGCCACATTTACAAAACACCATCGTTCTTCTTAGTAAAGACACAACCATTTTCATTTGTGCTTTTGCAGGGGCAATTTTAAACCTGGTGGTTTCTCAGTGTTGGTGAAAATCATGAACTTGTTTCTTCAAAATTGTAGTTAGTAATGCCAAGGAAAGATGAAAAATGCCACAAAACTAATAATGTGTTTTCTCAACTCCATGAAAATCAGAGTGTCTCTGAGGAGACTGAATAGTTTATTGTCCAAAGAAACCCACTTAGAGAAAAATGGAGAGGAATTTGTCCCAAAAGTTTCCCCCAAAACACTAAATCTGTTGAATGTGTCTTTATGAAATGGAAGCATGTCATAGGTTTGAGAGACCCTCTTTGGGTTCACTTTACGTTTGTGAAAGGACCTTGTCATATACAAAGTTTTTCACTCTGCTTCCTGCCGTTGATTCTATTCCAAATAAAGCTTCATTTGTAGCCCATGTTTCACAACTATTTCATGTGAAGTCATATAAAAAGGAATTTTTGCACTTTCTTCAGCAATTGATCTCTTCGTCCAAAGCTCTGTTGTTGGCTGGATCTTGTCAAAGTTGTCAGCGCATACGAGGGGCATTGTTAAAACATTGCCCTGGTCAGAGTTCGCCTTCTTTTTTCAGAGTAATAGACCCATCAGTCAGCCGCAGTAAAATACCATGACACATGTCTGCAGCAGTTTGACTTTGTTTTTCTCAAAGTTCACATGAAGACAAGGGTATCTTGATGAATTATTCTCTTTATTTCTCAACACTGGAACAGAACTTGAGTCAGCATTAAGCGTGCTCAGGACTTTGATTGCTTGAAGCCTTTCAAACGTCTTTCAACTCCTAATGTCACAGTTCGTTATTTGAATTGACCAGGGAAGTTTTCCGTCAAGAAACACGACTGAATGGATTTTGTGTCTCAGGGATGAATTGGTCCTTACAGTATGAAATTAAGCTTATTATATATTAAAAGACTGAAATTGTCATGTTCTGTTTTTCTGTGTTTATTTTGAGTTTTCTGTGTCCCTGTGTCTCTTCTTTCTCCTGTCTTTCTCTTAATTACTCCAGAGAGGGTAATCTTCGTGATTACCCTCTGTGTATTTAATCCCTCCTGTGTCCTTTGTTCGTCGTTGGGTCCTTATCGTTGGTCATCTGTTTACGCACCTCTTTTGTCCATTCGTGTACCTTGAGCTACCTGTATTGAGCCTGGATTCTGCTCAGAAGTGCTGCCTTGGTTTTCGGACTGTTCTGGTTTTGTCACCATTCAATCATCATTTCATTTATTCTACCTGGGTCTCCCGCATCTGCCTCACCACTCCACATCACACTTCATGACAGTAATACATCAGATGCTAAATATTCAAAAATAAGTGACAATATTCATGGGTGAGCTGCGATAGCAACATTAGAAAGATATCATGTCGTGACTGTGTTGTAACACAGTTGGATCTGTGGATCCATTTTCTTTCATTGGATGAAAAAAAATCTTGCCTAAGATCAGTAGCTGTCAGCGATCAGTAGCACTACTGACGTACGTTTCATGTAACATGGAGCAGAAAACAGTTTCTCCACACATCCATTGGGTGGAAAAGGAACCAGTTTTAGGAAAGCAAGCTGTTTCTCTGGAACCAGTTTCAGCAAGGTGGCCAGTTTTCCTAAACTCCCAGATGGATTAGAATACTCAGACTGGTACCCACTACCTGAGTGTTCCTGTCTGGAACGTCTTCAGGAAAACTGTACCTATGTTTTGGAGAGCTGGAACTGGTCCCTGGCTCTCCTGGTTCCTGATCTCTTGCTCTCTTCTCTCCTGTTCAAACAATCTTTGCCTTAACTGAGCATTTTCAGACCTTGAGGTCATGTTTGGGTGGTCAAGGTACTCCATTTGTTCAAGGTCTCTATCAAGCTGGTCCAGGAGACACTCTATTTCCTCTGAAAGACTCTCCTCCTCCTCAGACCACCTCTTTATTAACTGCTGTGTCATTGTCAAGGTCATCTGAAGCTTCTGGAGTCTTTGGTTTAGAGTATGTTGGGCCTGTTCCAAGGAACACACTTCAGCTCTCACGTCCTTGTGTTTAAGCTCAGTGTTTCTTTGCTCTGCACGAAGAGACTTGATCTGAGCATAAAGTGCATCATTCTAATTTGCAAGCATGTCACATTTTGCTTGCAAGCCCCTTCGACAGAAACTCCAGCCAGATTTGGAGCACTCGATTGTCCTTCTGAGATTTTCCAACGTCTGCTGTAGTTCTGTTTTTTTATTCTCCAAGTCCTCTCTGGTTGCGTCTGGAGAACTTTTGTCCGTCAGCAGGCTATCCAGATCATTAGGCATACAACAATTATTGCCAGCCATTGTTTGAAATCAAATCAACCGTGGTTGTACTTCTCTTCTTCTTTCCACCCAAAATGTAGAACAAATGAATTGCTCTGTGGAATAAAAGGAGATGGATTACAGTCATCACCGGTTCACAAAGCCACTAGAAAGAAGCCTGTTGTGTGTGTGTGTGGGTGTGTGTTCTGCAGTGAGGTTCACAACTGGTCAGACATAATCATATTTCCAAATATAGACCCCGTGCATGTTATTGTTTACATGAGGAAATTCCCCACAAGCAGACAAGATCATCTTGCAGACAAGATCAAGCAGACAAGATCATCTTGTCTGCTTCTCACAAAGCATTTTAACTTTGTGAGAAGATGACAGTCAGTCGAACTCCATTATCCGCTCTCAACTGTGATGAGATCATCTTATCTGCTTGTGGGGTTTAAGAGAAAATGTTAAAAGACATTTTCTCTTGAGGCAGCCAGGAAGGAAGGATATGTTAAAGACAATTCTTTAACATGTCATCCATGGCCACGCTGCAGCTGTAGAATAATTTTATTCACTTAATCAAACTTGGACAGGTAGATATTGTTGATGTCATGCTGTGCTCCTCAGCAAAGAAAAAACCCATTAAAGTACAACTCAAAACCACTTCTTTTTATTATTATTATTATTATTATTATTATTATTATTACTGGTAATAAAGGTGTTTACAAAACGACAAAATTAACAACACAAATATATGTACATATATTTCTTTGGTCATCATTAATTGATTTAGTTTCAGTAAGACATGTAAAGAAATTTTCAGTTTCAAACTTATTGTATTGTGATTCATCCAACTCACTGTAAAAAGTAGAGCAATATTTACTATTGTTTGGGGATCAGTGATGAAATTGTTAATGTTATGTTTTTGAATTGAATTGACTGCAGGTTTTTTCTAACTGAAAGATGCAATAAACTTTCTCCAGCCATTTCCTTGTTGATTCTGTATATTTCTTTTAATCTGTTTTGTTGAATGGTTCAATCATTTTCAGGTAAGATTAGAGTAATTTCAGTTATTCTGGATATTACATTTGTTTCTTCATCTCTCCTGGATTTAGATAAAGGCGCCAAATTCTATTAAATACTGTGTAACTTCAAATTGAAGGAGTTCCCAATTTCTAGGGAAATTTTTACCAATTAAGGCTTTTTTCCACAAATGGTTTATTAATAATTTGACTTTATCAATTACTAACTCATTTTTTAAGATGGAGTTAAGTTTCCAATAATAACTTTTGAATGTGGGAGTGATGTTAGGATTGAATGAGCTGATCAACGATATTGCTTTGTGATCGGTTAAAGGTGTTGTTAATATTTTAAGAGTGATGTTAATCTTATCTAAGTAATCAGAAACTAACCAGTAATCTATGCGAGACATTAACGTGCGATTCTTATTAGACCAGGTATAATCTCTAGAAACTGGATTTTTGTATAAAGGAGGACAAGTTAATAGAAGTATTATTAACTCCCGGAGGCCATCGATTTGGGAGATATTCAAAGCTATGCTGAAATCTCCACCCATTAAAAGCATTTGGCTTTTTTGATAACCAGTGGAGGAAGCTGGATTCTAATCCATCAAGTAAGAAATCATTTTCAGGTTTTGAATTACATCCATAAACATTGGCAAGAAGGACAATATTATTGTTGACATTCAGGATTAATATTGTATGGTGGTCAATAGGATCACTTTCTGAGTGTAAAACAGAACCATTAAAGTTGTTTTTTTAAAATAGTGACCCCTGCTGACCTTTCTGAACCATGAGAAAACCAAAAATCATTTCTCCATTTAGTTTTCCAACAGGACACATCATTTGCTATGTGACTCTTGAAAAAAGCAAAAATCAGACTTTTGTTGTTTTGCAAATACAAATAAAAGTTTTCTTTTAACATTTTCTCTTAAACCCCTTGCATTTAATGAGAAGATCGAAAGGGACAAAGTAGGATAAGTGGACACAGAAAACAACCTTCAGATCCCGAATGCTGTGATTGGAACCATGACAAGAATGGAGCTGAAGTGATTCACCATGTTAGACACCAACACTTAGGAGAAGTTTGCAGTTTGGTACAGTATGGCTGCATTAATAACTATAAAGAACAAAAAACTCAAATTGATATAAAAAGTGCTTAAATGCACAAGAAAGCAAAGACTGTACTTAACAATATAGTAGCTTCTCTGCTTTGAAGTCTGAACGTTTCTGAAGCTCACTGAAGCTGCAGTCCGGAGGCAATCTATCAAGCTATAACCGTGTACACTGAAAAAAGTGATTTTTGCGAGTGTTAAATATGATCCATAAAAATGAGGTAAATTTTAATGTATTTTTTCAGGTAGCCAATGATTGAAGAAATGTTGGGTAATTTCTACATGTGCTACCCATTCGTTAACATTAAAAACTATTAGATAGGAAATTACAGTAAAATCTACCCCGATTCTTAAGTCCGGTGCTCCAAAGTTGCGCATGCGTCAGACCGCGTTTTTGAAAGAGAAGCGGGACAAGGAACTCTGGATCCTCTCTGCCATCGAACCGGGAGCTGAAGGTAAGATGTTAATATAGTTTTCTGTGAATGATAGCACGAATGCAAATTCTAACATTACAAATGATTAGATACTTCACTTATATTCGATGTGCATCTCTGTAACATGCCAATACTGTATATCAAAATTTGAATTTTTCCATGGCGCCGACATGGCTAACTGTCTGGACAACAACAGGTAGTTTTAATTTGTTCGCAGTGCTTTTGAGATTAGCCAGCATGCATGACTGTTTGTTACCGCTGGTTTTAAGGTTAGAAACTAGTCTAACGCTAACGCTGAACTTTTGCCGGTGTGGTTAAGTTGTAACGGTCGTTAAGTATCTGCAGGTCTCTGCTCCCACGTCACGCTGCACCGAGAGACAGGCAGCAAATAATTTGCTGATGAACAATCCATTAGTGTATTTTCGCCGCACATGAGAAGTTCCGTCTTAAAATACTAATAGTAATATGTCGCCAACATATGAAATGCCTGCCGTGTTTTATATTGTTGACCTGTTAGCTCCGGTAGCTAACATGGCTGCTGGAGTCGCTCTCGCCGCGGTCTGTTTAAAAACAACATGATTTTCTCTCCAGTTCACCTGCATGTCTGCGTACGTGTGTCTATGTTGTGAAAGTTTAGCGTTACTGCTCATAGTTTTAATTTTTCTTCCCATCAAGAAACATTCATGTGAAGACTATGAGATCTGGTTTTTCATTTAAAATTTGATTTTTGTCCTTTTATGTCCTAGATCAAGGAAGAGTTCAGACTTATCGACAGTTTCCTTGGAGGAGACATTCATGCTAAAGCTTGATGAGAACACACCAGGTCTTCTGCAGCTTAGTGCTAAAGGAGGGGCTGCTGGTTCAAAGATGCACCTTCTGCTGGACACTTTAAATGACGTATGTTAATTTTTTTTTTCAGAAATATGTCATTATTGATATACTTAAATTAAAAATGGAAATAATTTGTAAAGAATTGCTTTGTTGTGCACAAAGTTAAGCTCCTTACCAACTTAGTGTGTGTAAATCTCTCCCCACTCTCCACTAACAGTCTTTTCACTAAATTGTATCTCCCTACAGCCACAGAGCATTGAGGAAAAAAAGGGATACAGTTGTCTGCTGCCTCATTAACTACTTTGGTGAAAGACAAGAAGATCTTTTCCATGACTGCCAGGTATGTCCTTGAAAACAGATGATCGATTAACTCAAGGGATCCTCTTCACTCCTTTTCCTTCTTTCATCTTGTCTTTCTATCTTCTGATCACTACCCTCTGCTCTCCTTTAGATATGTTGAAATGTATGGAAAAAGCATCTTCAATAAAATTTTAAATGTGTATATTTTTTGATTATTTTCAACATATAGGAATGTGAGGACCACACAGACAAAACAATGACGGTGATCGTGATGCACAACATCATGGCTGAGGAGGATCCATCAGATTGTGATTGAGGGAAACCAAGTGATGGAAGGATGTGGAAGCCGAACAAAGGCATGTGTACTGCTGATGGGACTCATATTTGCCCTCAACCTGGACTATCCAAAGCAGCTCAAGAACACATTTGAAGCTTTTCAAAAACTTTTTTTGGAAAGTGATGGGGCAAAACTACTGAAGAAGGTCCACAGTCTGAAGAACAAGCTCAAGGCATACATTTTCCGTCCTGTTCCAAGAGGATCTTTTGTCTGGACAGAGTTTTAAGGTAGTATAGCTTTTTTTTATTAGTGTTCTGTTCTGTCCTCTGCTCCACACACAGACACAGACATATATGTGGATACATAAGTACGTTGCAGCCTCTCTCAGCCCACTCCATTGTTCTCTGATTTCTGAAAATGGAAAAACAATGTAAACTGGACAGTCTGGTCATTAACACTGACTGAATTCTGACAAATTTAAAAATCACCTCTTTCCCAATTTCGTTGTTTCTGTTATTGTCATTCTACCTGAATGAGTGCAACTATATTAACTGAAGACTGTTGTTTTTCTGATCTGTTTTCATCCACATGTACACACGCAGAAAAAAAAAGTATTACAGTTTGTGTGTGGGTTTTGAAGCTTTTGGAATAGAATAAGGGGACTCTTAAAGTTTGGTTGCATTAAATACTTATCCAGAGACAACATATGTAGCCGTTAGCTCAGTGTGTTATAAAATGTGTTTTTGAAATGTCTAAATGTTGTAGCTGTTGTACTGCACTTTATTCATTTATTGTTAATGTTGTGTTATAGTTCTGTTATTTGTTGTGTTTAAATACACCTGCACATCTGAAGATTTGCTCAGTCACTGTTGTGTGAGGCCGAGGAAACACAATTAAGACTATCCCTTGCACCTCACTTCTCCTTTAATTTTCTCTCTTCTCCTAAATTGTCCTTTTCTCTGATGTACTCCTAAGATTGGATGTCTGACATGTTTTATAGTCCTACATTACTGAAAAAATATTTGAAGATGTTATACTGCGGTTTAAGTATTTGTAATTTTGCTTGACACTGCTGTGTTGCACTTATTTCTGTTGTACTTTTTGGATGAATTCTTAGAATAAAATAATTGTAAAAGTGTATCATCTCGATCTATTATTTGTGGCTGCATTTTAACTTACCTGAATAAGTAAAGGTAACTCAGTGATTTCAGTTAACTTTAACTCTTAATTTTCAGCTAAGATTTACTAGCAAACAAGACAAATTTTTACCTATTTTAACTGACTAAATACCTGTTGAATTTAACCATAAATATGAGGTACATTTTACCCAACTTTTTAAAGTATTTCTTACATGTCTAAGATAATTACTTAATACTCAATATATTTAACTGAATATACCTTAACGGGGACAGTGCAAATTGTTACCTCACTTTTTTAGGGTAAATTCTATAGTTTGCTTTTTACAGTGTAAATCACAAGTGCGTGTGAACTGAACATAACCACATCACCTATCATTAACACCGCTGACACTTTTCTCTGTCTGTCAAAGGATAATTAAATCTAAACTTGTTATTTTCCAAACTTGTCGAGGCTGTATAGGATTTGAGGATTGCAGGTGGCCACATGAGCAGTGCATTTTGTTTGTTTCATTCAGAAATTCAACATTAACAGCTTACAATCTCTTATTTAATCAAGCATAAATTTTCTAATGGAATCAATATTACATTTGATCAATTTTCAAAATAAAATAAAGTAGCCCTTTGCAGTTTTTTGCATGCTGGGTTAATCAAATGCAAAGAGATTAAAATGTAACTGTTAGCAAATGACTGAAAGATATATGCTGCTCAATATTCAAAGATGATTGTTGAATGTTAATGTTTCAAATTAGTCCTAATAGCAAACAGTACAGGACTGAATCCATAAAGTATAGTCAGTGCATTGATAGAAATGGAATATAAGGCTTGCATTTGATAAGAACGTGCTTATTTCTGTCAGTAGAGGTGGAGACAATAAAACTTTATTTTGAAGTGTTTGTGTTTTTGTGTGATTGTTCAAGATTCAATTTCTCAATTTCTTACAGACCATGCCAGGTTAAGAAAATACCAAACCAGACACTTGATCCAGACTGTTCTCCCTGGACATAGAATCAATTGTCACCACTACCGTCCCAACCTTCTTTTGTTTCAGGGTATTCAACCTGGGAGTTCAGGGGCCAGGTCCTGAAAGATCAGAAATATGAGTCCAGTCCAGGTAATGGACAAACTGACCGGCTTCATGTTCCAGCTTCTGTCATATGTAGGCTCATGCTACTAAACTGTCTTGCCATCCTGGGGTCAATTGTACCATCTTTATAATTTGACTTGACATTTGATGACCAATATTAGTACACTAATGTTAAAGACCATGCCCTAGTTTTGCACATGTAAGAAAGTGACCATCCAGTGGTCGACTCCAACGCCTTTCAGTACTTGAAAATCTATGGCCACACATTGCCTTTGATTTGATTTACCCCTCCAGCTAAAGACTTCACCACCATTCTCGGTTTTTCTGAAGCCGGCCACCTCATCTCGTTATGCAGCCTTCCCTCTTCTCTTGAAACAGCCCGATTTCTGACCAAACACGTAATTTGTCTACATTGGCATACCTGCTGAAATCCTGCCTAACTCAGATCCTGAGTCAGTCTACAGGGCCTGGAAGGAGTTTGATAAAGCATTAGAAGCCAAGGCACTTATGCTCAGTTAGCCCTCAGTTCAGGTTTTCATCCTCACAAATAGTCAAATAGAGAGCATGAACCAGGAGCTTGAGGCTACCCTCCAGTATCTTTGTTCATCACTCGAGATTATGAGGCTTCTCAAACAATATTTTGAGGTAGCCTCTAATTCCGTCCTTCATGTTAAGATCTCTAATTGAAAGTGTCTGTAACCTCCTGTGTTCAAGTCCTGCTGTCTCCTGTGGTCCAGGTTGAGGTCATGTCTCCAGATTCTCCTGTGAAAACACATCCTTGATTGTGTTTTCACAGGAGATAAACACAATGTCTCACACTGGAGAGGACATTGGAGACTGCAGCTCAAATGTCCTCCCAATCTCCCGCCACAAACTCTCTACCACCAAGGTCAGACCCTCTCCAGATTGTCAGGCTCCCTGTTTACCGACACAGTCACCTCTGGACTCCAAGCAAACAACTTTGCTCCACACCAGAAACTGAGCCGCTCCTCCCACACACTTCTCAGTCTCAAGTAGCAGTTCACTACCTCTCAATCAGGGTCAGGAAAACTTACGCCCATCGTGACACTTTGGGCACAACTTAGATGTGGAAACAAATGACGAGTGAGGATTCTGACCGGATGTGTTCTGCTTGCAAAATTTTCATTTGAACAACACACCTACTGTCATCTCACCTTTTGAATTTGAACCCACAATGAAGGAGTAACCAAAATCTTAATTACGAGACGTCTGAAATGGTTGCCTCCTTTTTGACTTCAACTTAGAAGAGCAAAACCCTGGTGAATTGACTTCTAACAGGAGTTGATGACATCTGGCTGTAAGGAAACGTTCCTGCTGGTCACACCTCCAATCAGAAGATGAAGAGACACGTGCTCACACACCACCCAGCACACACTCCTGTGGATATAACCATAAAAGATTCAGCCTCCCTTTATGCAACACACTAAATGATGCGTAGTGATTATTTAGGAAGCATTCTGCCCTTTTCATCTTTACCACCCAGTGTGAGACCCCAGTGTGATTTCCACCAATGACTTCCCACTAATCGGTATGACCATCTCCGTATAGAACAAGATAATCTAATCAAGACAATCGTTGTTAAGCTTGACTGGAGCAGCTTAACATGTCTGACTTAAACAGCTGAAAGTTTTCAGGAAGCAAGCATGGCTACATTTTTGTTGACAACATCAGGCAGGAAGAGTCTAACGCTCGCCTCAGGGAGGTGGGAGTCCCACTGGGTTGTCGAAGCTGTATTTATATCAGGGAACGTGCAATTCACAACATGGCAATTATAGCTATTTTCAGATGTAAAAATTGGACTCCATCTGTAACAGTCAGAATAGAGTGCTATTCAAACTCATTTCAGCCGCCACCTCGGTACCCATTTCACCGATCCCAAACTGCATGGCTTTGTGTAAACACAGTGGAGCATGGCCTTAACTTTCTGAAGGACTGCTGTGGACATGTCTTCTCCAACTTTGGCCTGACAGGGACAGTCCCCACCATTAACAGCCAGTGGACGACTGCTCTTTATGAGTCCTTTGTAAAACATAAAAGGCAAGTCCGCTCAGTGATCTATGTTAGTGGACCGGACATCACGTGACTTTCTGTGTCACACCACATGTGCTACTGCTTTGCATTTAGCCGAGAGTGTAGGTGGTCAGGAAAACGACACAGTCATGCAAAGAATCTGAATCTGTGTCATGCGACTCATGCAAAAGCCGTAACACTCCACTTCAGAAGTGTTACAAATCTGTTGGGCTACTCCTCGCCATTCAGACAGCAAATCTAAACGCAAAACTGCTGGACAGAACACTATAAAAAGAAATCACCCAAAATGTCTGGAAATAATTAAATCTAAAAAAAAAAAAAATCATTTGAGGACAATGTTTGGTTGAAAGACACAATTCGTCACAGCACAGAAAAAGACCCTCTGGCCAAACGAACGGCAACTGCAACATTTCCAAATTCCTCTTGAGTCGCCTGCAGCTTTATTGCCCAACTGAAGTGAAAGGCTCTCAGATCATAAGTTGAATATAAAACGTCCCCAGTGACATCGACACGTCATACCATAGTCAGAAAAAAGAAATAAATCTTCCAAATTTTGTTTCATCTTTGGTAATCTCCTTCAAAGTCCATAAGGTCAAGTTTGTCATGTGGGAGATTTTTTTTTCTTTAAGCCCTTCAATCACATATATATATATATATATATATATATATATATATATATATATATATATATATATATATATATATAAATTCCCTTCTCACCCACCGCGGGTGGTTCTTATCCTCTGAGCTCAGGTCCTCTACCAGAGGCCTGGGAGCTTGAGGGTTCTGCGCAGTATCTTGGCTGTGCCAAGGACTGCACATTTCTGGACTGAGATGTCTGATGTTGTTCCTGGGATCTGTTGTAGCCACTGCTCCAGTTTGGGGGTTACTGCCCCGAGGCCCCGATGACCACAGGCACCACTGTGGTCTTCACCTTCCAGGCCCTCTCCAGTTCTTCCCTGAGGCCCTGGTATTTCTCCAGTTTCTCATGCTCCTTTTTCTGATGTTGCAATCACTTGGTATTGCTACATCTACCAAACGGCTTTCCTCTGTTGTTTGTCCACTACGACAATGTCTGGTTGGTTCGCCATTACCATTCTGTATGTCTGGATCTGGAAGTCCCACAGGATCTTAGCTCTGGCGTTCTCCAACACCTTTGGGGGTGTTTCCCACTTTGATCTCGGGGTTTCCAGTCCATATTCTGCACAGATGTTTCTGTACACTATGCCTGCCACTTAGTTATGTCGTTCCATGTACGCTTTCCCTGCCAGTATCTTGCACCCTGCTGTTATGTGCTGGACTGTCTCAGGGGCCTCCTTGCACAACCTACACCTTGGGTCTTGTCTGGTGTGGTAGATCTGGGCCTCTATTGCTCTGGTGTTTAGGGCCTGTTCCTGGGCGGCCAGGATGAGGGCCTCTGTGCTGTCCTTGAGTCCAGCTTTTTCCAGCCATTGGTAGG